AAGAGGAGAAATAAGCCTTTTATTTAAAAAAGAATTCAGATTAATTTAATTCAAGGTTATAAAGTTACAGGTCCTGTAACAAAACTTTTTGAACCCCCCACGTATTCAATTTTTAATCCGCAGAACCAGGGGATTTTAATAGAAAATGCGGGTGTTTGTCACTAAATTTTCATGTTTTTTGACATTTATTCTATCGTTATAAATAAATTTTATAACCATTTTACAAACACGGTCAATTATTTTTTTTAATTAATAAATGTGCTGTAAATGTGCCCCGCATTCTCTATTAAAATCCCCTGGTTGATAAACAATATGTGAATTAATACTATAATTTTTATGCTAATAGTGTTTATCTGTTATGTTATAGGATCAAGTGTTGAAGTGTATTTGGCTAATTGGCCAGCAAGCTTGCAACCAATAGTTTTTTTGATTATGGATTTTGATATACCAGAAGAAATAATATCATTACCCAAATTGACAAAGGTTGCTGCAAAGATGCTATCATTGAAGGTAATTATCTTCCTATTATATTTGTGAGGTATACATGTATTCTGCTAACAACTGATCTTTGTTGATTGGGAGTTAGAGTTTCACAGAAACCATTACAATTACATAGAGTGGCATTAGGCATTAATATAGTGAGCTTGATCCAGTAATATAAGAGTATGTTGGATATTTTTTTGGATTACAACGTAAACACAATATTTAGTCGACATTATGATTATGTGCCATGTTGTGTGATGTATTTACTGGTGATTAGTTCCATCTACATTATTATCAATTGAACTTTAAAGTATGATGGTGTATTGGCTTTGGTAAGTAATGGAAACTTTTTTATTTTCTTTATTAAAAAAAAAAGAATATTAAATAGTTTCTTTTGTTATTATTAGAATTTTGAAAAATGGCCATAAGCTAAAAGTTTAGTATCAGTTGAAATATGATTAAAAAAGTTTTTCCAAACGTAAGATGTTTAGAGAAGGTTTACAAGATGATGATTTTTCAGAATATAAAAATCAATTATTACTATGACTTGCTATTACAGATAAAAATTTTTTAATTTTTTGTTCTACATATATAAAGTTTCGCCTTATTGATTATTTAAATA